AACTCCTTCTTCATTTCTAGCATTTCCGCTTCCATCGTTGGCTTCGGCTTCGGTACACTTCAATCACTTTCTTTCAACACTGCTCGCGAGTTCCGTGCGTACCCCACCGCTGCTGTAATGTCGCTTAGTCTCTACGTGGGTAACACAGATGTCACGACCTGGTGTTGAATAGAGTTTATTGAACTTAGTCGGCTAGTCACTCTGGCACACACCTACAACTACCCTTCACGATTGCTTGCGCTCGAATGAATCTCTCTCTACTTCAAGTTCTGACGTCATTGATGCCGCCGTCACTGACTTCTCGCGCGATCGGCCGCCGATCGTCTCTCTAACGCTCGACTCTGGCGCCCTCTAGCGTGATAATCAATCCACGCACGACATATCAGATCTCCATCTCCATACAGTAATAAATGTCCATATAGAGTTCCCTGAGCCATTCTCTGGTCGTTTTCATGAAAGGATAGGTCTCACATGGAAGAAGGGCCTAAATTCATCTTCTCAAATCCGAACAGTGTATCTTGACGGTTGCTCATAAGTGAGGCACTGGTAACCTGAAATGTTCCTCTCAGATGAGGGATCGAGGTTCCCTAAAATTCCCGAATCATATCCGAAGAGAAGCGATTTTCTCATGGGGAATACAAATCTCGATACACGAATCCCGCGCATGGCTGCCGTATCTTTTGGGCTGTTCTTCCATATGAGGCTTCGACTTGCTTTTGAGGCGGCTCACTCCATCAGGCGCAGCAATGGTAGCTCAGGCAAAAAAGCTCCGTGACTCGAGAATAGAGGTGCATCGGGCCCTAAGAAGGAACGAGTTCAGAGATATTCGAGTCCAACTTCCTCCAAGAACACGGTCTGACTCGGGCGAAGCAGGAGCACCTTGATGCGGGAAATCCCTCGGGCTAGGAGCTGAACATGCTCTCTTTCCGGCGCTTACGGGAGAGTCAACGTCGAGAGTAGCTCGGAACGCGGTCGCCTCGTCTGTAGTATCCATCGAGCCCTCGGTTGTCTTGGGTCGTGGCTCGGTGCTTGATAAAGGGGAGGCAGCGAGGTTCCGACCGATAAATGTTGATACCCTGATTCCGTCGCTCCACCAAAGGGGGGAGGGAGGCATGCTCGGCCGCTTCGAGCTCTGGAGAGGAGCTTCGAGATGAGCAAATCTTTGATCTCTGCATTGATGTCGAGTTCGGCTGCGTCATAAGTCGTAATAGAATTCAAATCCGTCCTCGACAAGCTCTCTTCTCCGTTAGGCAGCGATGTTTGTGGTGGCATTTCACGCTCGAATCAGCCAGGAGCTCCGTGGCTTTCGGCTCGCGGGTTGGGTACCGGATGCCCGTCTCCCGCATGCCCGTTCCCCATATGCCCGTTTTCCATGTGCCCGTTCCCCGTATGCCCGTCCAATTACTAGACGTCATCGGAAGTGTCACACTGCATCCAACTATTATGGAACCACTACGACCGATTAAATGTTGAATCCCTCGGCTAGAACGAATTCCCTGCGGCTTATCTCGTTCGTCTCGTACTCGGTGACAACTTCTTGTACTTCTGGTTCAGCTTCTCGTAGGTCTTGTTCCTCCGTGAAAGATCCTGCCCCATTCGAAGCGCGGCGTGCTTGGTCGGCGCCGAGGTGGCGGAGCGAGGCTGAGGTGATAACACGACACACCATAGTATAATCGTTCCGCCGAGCAGACAGCGCTAAGACAGGGATGAAAATATCTCGCCCGCAAGGTCTTTTCTTGAGGCCCGCGAGGTTTCTTCTTGGGACCCTTGAGCATCTTCCCACAAACTCGGTGCCGGAGTGCCGCTCTTCACGCCCCCGAAATACAGTTCAAAAAGGGTCTGAGGCAATTTGGAGAATTTCTGTCCCGGGAACCGCTAAACATGTATTTTTCTGCTCCTCCTGGTTCTTCTCCTCGGAGAGCATATTTCGCTGATACGAGCGACCATTCCCGCGGAACTCACGCACTACAATTGTGTTCCACCCAACACTCAAGCCTGAAACCCCTGCACCAAAAGAGGTGACGACAGAATGGAATCGTAGGGCGCAGATTACGATCTGAAGCCTGAGATTGCTTTACCGGGGAATCACATAGTATCGTAGGGTGGTACACGTAGTGAGCGGGGCCCCGAGTACGCAACGTGCGTGCGGAAAGCGAATAGCTCCAGTACGACAGCGGGCGGCAGCAAGCTCGCCGCTCAGGTTTTCCTGTGTCTCCATCGAGATGTTTCGGAAGCGTCCGGCTGCCTTGACCACCTCTCCCTACTCCTGTTCCTCTGCAAGCTCGCTCTCAGCCCCCTCGAAATCCCCAAGCTGAAAGTATTATACTCCCACCGCGAAAACTCGGTTACTGCTCCGCGCACAGGGAATTCAAAAAGCAAAAACGGGGAACAAGGAATTTCAAGGAACATGTTCTCCGGACAATCGTGGTCTGTCTAGAATCCAAACAAAATCACGCACATCTCTATCGGGCCGATGAATCCTTATACATATATTTTAATGTCCCTGAGCTTCATTTACTCTCCATAATCTAGGACCAATTGAGATATTCACAGAGGCTTTATTGAGTGATGTGTAATTGGAAGGTCTCTCTTCCTCACTCGGGGAACCGCTGCAGATCCCGGTCGACTCCTCCGATCGTTCCTGAGGGACCAAACGAAACATTGAGCCTCAGTCAATGGATGTAGTAAACCAGGATTCGGTGCTGTCTCTCGTGAGTTGTTTAATTGGTTTTCGAAGACTCACGTCATACAAGAAGACACGCTTGACGAGCCAGGAACGGCTATGACGCATTCGACGCAATGCCTTCGGACGAATCGGAACGTCACTACCGTGAATGCAAGAAAATACCAGCCCATCGATCGCTCTCGTTGCATACTCAAGCAGCTTCCCGAACTCACTCCTCGGTCCTACAGGAATGATCCATGGCGCCAGGCGAAGATGTCAGAGGTGCATCTCTACCCTTCCGTCAGCCCGAGCTGAATCGAATCACAGATTCTTTATAATAGTTTATAACCTTTAAATCTCCGAAGTGAAGAGCTGACTATGACTTAAATCTTCATGATGGAGAACTGACAGGGTGTTGGATCTTCAAGATGAAGAACTCACAGGGATGCGCTCGCGGGGCACGGATAACAATCGAATTGACTCACTCTCCAGGGACCTCGGAAGGATCGGGGAGTCGGGTCCGATCCTCTAGCTTCGTTCGACTGGCGTTTTTCGATGACGGCCTCCGTCTCGGAAAGTCAATTGTTTGGTATGGGAGTGAGTTTACGGAGATCTTTGCTCGATGGATTTTGAATGTTCTTCTGGGAACAGTTGTTGTTGTTGTTGTTGGCTGCGCCGAGCGCTCTTTTGTGGGCAGCAGCTTGAACTGCCTGAATGTCCATCTGCGTAACCGAATTCCGCGATGCTCCGCTAATCCGCTCCCGACTGTTTTGGGATGCGTTCGTAGGCGGTCTTCTCTCGGCAGTGAGGCTGGCTACTCTACTCATCATGTAGGTCAGTAGCTGGCGTTCCTTTTGGGAATCGAATAGTTCAGTATCTCGCGATCAAATCGTCCGAAGCCCTCCGAGTTGGGAGCTTCACACCTACCCTGGCCTTGGCTCCTTTGACAGCTTCGGGAACGTCGGGGATCAGCAAGGTCAACAAATATTTCACGACGAACACCAGATGCTGGAATTGAGGAAACAAAAACGATGTGTGATTGTGACGACGGAGGCGGATCGAACCGACTACGCGCAACGTTATCGTCCACTGTACTCACTTCGAAAGCAACGATGAACATGAATTTTGATATCCTCGATCGGAGGTACAAGGAACCGAACTTCGACGTGAAGGCGATCAAGAAAGCGTTCGTCACGACTCCGAAGTAATTAATGAAATTGAATAAATGCAGCCACATGCCTAGAACCATCATACGGATTAGTCCTTCGTTCAAGGGAGTTCCGGATCGAAGGTGTGAGGCCCACTTCATGTTGAGCTCGATGCTTGGTATGAATTTTTAAAAAGTCAGGATCGTCGGAGTAACTCTACC